GCTGCAATACAAAAGAATCATTATAATGACTAGTAAAATCACCTAGTGTGACTATCCCTGATAGAATGCAGTAAAATTTACATACACTTATACTGAGTGAAAGTCACCCAGTGGTGCCACAAAACAGACACAGTTTGCAATGAGAGCAGTCTTTGGGAATGCCAGTGCTTTCTCTGAAAGTATGGGTATTGATTTGGGCAGGGGGTGATGGAGAGTTGTGAGGGACCCTGACAAGAGAATTTGGAAAAGAAAGAGGCAGGCAAATGTGAGGATTTAAACAGTAACAAGGGGAAAATTGAAGGAAATAAACTAAAATAACTACCTCTGCATAAAAAAGAATTAGACAGCCCTAAACAAACCTGCTCATATCACCAATCTCCTGGACATCTCCTGCACTGCATCTCCACCACAACCCAATTCTCTGTTCTGTGAACTACCTCCTCCTATCAAGTTTAGTTGGGACCACGCAGTCCAGAAGCTCTAGACAATGTCAAAGGATGTGCTTTTTACAGTATTCCCTATAATTAGGGACTGATTTGTCAACAGCTAAGTTTTTCACACATTTGCAAAACAGCAGCAAGCGAAAAAAGGAATTCCAATTAAAAAAAAAAAAAAAAAAGAAAAAGAAAAAAGAAAATGCCTGCACACAAAAGCACAGGATCTTATTCAAAATTTAAATCTGTTTGTGGTTCTCAGAATCGGAGTGCCTAAACTTTACTGATACCATTCACCAGAACTAAAATTGGGACAGGTGAAAAATCATGACTGAGAACCCTGTTTTTGGCATCTATAAGTGAGAGGTCTTGCATTGTAACCCTTGTATGAGGGCAACATTAGCATTCATTAGAAATAACAATTACAACAGACAAAAATATAAAATTAATAAACACAGATGATCTACAGATATGGGTGTGGGGGCCGAGGGTCTCAAACCCTGCAGTTAATAAACATTAGGAATACAAGATTTTTCTCAGACTAGAGAAGTGTCTTTTATGTAATTGCTTCAGACAGGCTTTTATTTTATCAGACATAAAAGAATTGTGTGTAAATATTTCTATTCACCAGTTCTAATAACTGAACATCACCCCTTGTTCAGCACACAAATTACCTACTCATCATAAATCAAAGTATACCTACAAAACATACAAGCTAATTGTCTCTGGCACATCTGCTTTACCAAAAGTTAAAAAACGTCCTGGAGCAAGGAAACTCAAAATGCACTTCATGAAGCTACACATTTCCAGCCTACTCAAATGGATGTAGGAAAATTACAAAATTCACATAAACCTGAAGAAATATTCTATCTTCCCCTATCTTTTACCACTTTTTTGAAATAAATAGCATTCCACAAATGAAAGTTCTAAGATGATTATGATTACAAGTATCTAAAGCTTAGAGTGCCTCTCATCCTCATAGAACATAACACAACTAAAGTACTTCTGAGCTGAGCACTACCAACCTTTGATTCTCTAAGTCCCACCATTACTGTATATCATCACTTCACCAACATCCCACTGCCCCACACCCATTTACCAAGCATCTTCAGGACATGACTGGTTTGTTCCTTTCACCAGTACCTCCTATTTCCCTTCCTGTGTGTTCTCACCAGTGGAAAAAGACAGCAAAAACTACACTGTTACTCCCCTAGAGTTGGGGGACTTCTAGTATATCTGTTACTTCTCCATTTCTGGCTTTTTTGTTTGTTTGTTTTTAAATTTAAATCTACTTTTTTACCTCTGCTTAATTCTGTCTAACTTAATTGTCTCTAAAAGTGATAACACAGCTCAAAGCAGCAGCCAAGTTCTAGCAAAGAACACACTGGAGGTGCCACCTGGTATTACTTTTCATATATATCTCCGTGAAAGTCTTACACAAACTCTGGAAAAAACACTGGAGGGTACATCCCTGCTCCCAAGGTTAAACTTGTACAAGTAGTTAGGGTACACACAGTGAAACCAAAGTCACAAGTTTAGCATTTTTAAAGACGGAAAATAATTTTCTGGATTTGCATCCAGCCTCTCCTTAATCAAAGTTCCCAATCCTGAGGGACTAAATGATCTCTGATTTAACATTTGCAATCAATCTCACAGAATCTTTAACACCAACTAATTTCATGCAGGAAAGCAGTATTGTCACACAGCCTAAATATTTACTACCACTTTAATAGAAATCTTGGCTTGATTTTTTTTTTCCCCACAATTAATGAAGCATGAATATTGACTGTACTTCAGGATTTTTTCCTTTTCTAAGACAGAAATCCAGCTGTAAGCAATTAGAAACTATTCTGTAGAAATAAAAGTGTTCCTGTAGAAAGACAAGTAATCAGTCATCAGTATACAATATTCTCTAAGGACAATACAGCAATGAACTGACCTAGATATTGCTGCATTTTGCTGATGCAGGCAATTTTTGCAGGGAACTAGGGGATCCAAAATATTTTTTTCAATTAAAATTCTTGTACATACCACATAAGAAGGAAAAGATAAGTCAAACACATCAGTACTCTGAAGAATGACAAATGGGAATGCAAGTTTGTGTAGTGGTCTTTTTTTCTTTCAAATGAAATTACCTGAGCTGAAAATAAAACTAACTACAATATCAGCATTCTTGGGCACACAGACTTTTTAATGTTTTAATTAATATTTTCAGGAAGTTTCCTGAGGTTACGATAAAACTAATCATAGCTATCCTTATGTTTTTATAGAGAAACACCATAATCAATAAACAGTACACAATTTGCAGTAACTCCATAGCTGTGTGCTTTCAAAACATTATAGAATTACAATTTAAGAACAGATAACAAGTTATAATATATTCTCTGTTTGACTTGTTGACCCTATTTGTATAGCATAAGCAAATATAGGTAAGTATTAGAACAATTATCTCACAACCTTTCCATTAGTTCTTCTCTTCTTATACCTTTCCACTAAAAAAAAATATAAAAAAATCCTACCATTAGCACTTCCCAGCAGGTTCTTTTTGATTTAAAAAGAAAAGAAAAATAAACTTTCATTCTCATTTTTGCGGTAATAAGGAATAAAGAAGTAGCATTAAGCACTTTGACCATTTGCCAAAGAAACTGGAGTTCACATTTGGCAATGGTATCTAAGATTTCTCTACAGAGGGGAACTAGTCATTATTGCTTCAAATGCCACTTTGAAACTTTCAGACATTTAAATTCAACTGCAGACACCACAGTACTACTTTAATTTCTTATATGATATATGCACAATACTGCTCCTATGTGCAATAACCACAGACCACAGAATTCAGTGTCCTAAGACACAAATTTTATCCATATGCTGGAGAATTTTTACTAAATAAAACTATTTAGATTGTATATGCCAAGACTTCTTAACTAAAAATTCAGAATTTCAGAAGCACTTTTGGGGTGGTGTATAAGAATAAAATTTCAGTAACTTCAAAAAATAATCTTCTAACTCTGTTGAATTTAAACATGACATTAGGTTTACAGTATAATACAATAACTGATAGGCATACTGGAGGCATAAAAGGTATAAAACATTTAATAGTTTGTACTGGAGCAGCTGGTAGACCATTTTTTTTAAATGTAAGTAATATGAGGCCTGTACACGGAAAGGGATGTCGTTTCAGGTATCACTACCTCAGCTTTGGTACATCCAAAGAAAAAGATTCTTGAAGCTCAGCTGAATCAATTTTAGAGCTGCAGCATATTCATACCTTCTAAAATCGAGGACAGTTTTACCTGCCACAATTAACTCATATCTGCCCATGCCCATATTCCTCTCAACTTTGTTTCATTGTACTATTCATAGAAAGTCCAAAATATCAAATACATAGATTTTTTTTTTTAATTAACTTTACAGTCAACGCTTTATCTGTCAGCTATTAAAAACACAACTTTCCCATTAAAGAATAAAGACCGGCCTGAACATGTTAGATGCAAATTGACATTTTCAGTAGTTTCACTACTGCTAGTGTATGCATACAGAGCACAGAGAAAAAAAATATTTATAAAGTTTTCCCCTGTGAGGCATAGTCAATCTCATTAACAATAATTATCAACTGTGCCTAGAATCATAAATTTCCACTATTTGAGAACCTTCTCATAATGGTCTTCCAAAGTGCTTAATGAGAGCTCACAATCATTACTTAACTGTTAAACCTGCACATCTGATTTTGCCCTTTATTCCATGTCATTTTATTTGCTAATAAGTAAGCAAATCACTGTTGAAAAGGGGTTTTCAATAACAAACAAGTCAATGCAGAAAATGCCTCTAAAACATTTAGAAAGCTTACTAACCAAATCTTATTTAAGCCATAATTCTGAGAAAAATCACAAAGTATTGAAAAACAGTACCAAACTTCCACTGAACAAATTGTATACTTTCTTAACTTTGTGTATTTACTCATGTGCTGTACATGAAAAGCAGCAAAGAATGTATGCCACATAACAAAATTTCCATCTAAATGATCTTCAGTAAAACAGACCTCATTTTAAAATCTGAAAATATCTATTCTGAGTTCACAGTTCCTTTATTATCTTGTACTACAAGGTATCTGATAACACTGAAGAAAAGTTGAACTTGTTTCTTTAAATTTTGTTTAAAGTTTCATTATTTCTGTTTCTTTCTAGGTAGCAAAATTCCTAGTTTAAATAAAGTACTTCCACAAACAGTAAAGATTAGAAGAAGTTTAAGACCAGCAGTCAGTTGTCTTTGCATATGCTAAGCTCAGTATAGGTACCTTCAACTTAAGAATATCGGTAAAAAGAACTGGTTTTGAAGAACAATATATACATTAAGCTTCAAATAAAACTCCCTACTGAGAGGAATACACATTGCTGGAACTATAATACCCACTATAAAAAGAACAACTATAAATAAAATTTTAATGGCACTATAAGGTACTACCTGATCTAATAGTTCTCCCTTTCTCATCGGCTTCCATAGATTCTGACAAAGAAATAACCACAGGAAAGGTTTACATATGCATCAATTTTCTGCAATATGACTTACCAAGTTTGCTGCTTTCCCATAATCAATCCATCGGATGGTGGCAAAGTTTGTTGACTCGGCACAGTTAAAACCATGATTAAATCCTGCATGGTATCCATAGGGGAAAGTGATCATAAATTCTCCTGCCTCTTGTGTAATCTGTAGCAGAAAAGAAACAAACAAAAAAAACCTCTCAAAGTGAACCACATTACGAAAGCAGTTCTGCTCCTGATGCAACAAAAACTATATTTGCCTTTGCAACTATCTAGACAGAATTTTCTTCACCTTGCACACAGCTGCAATTAAATGCAAACAGAAGTAGTATACTTGAGACAATGTTATTTACTGTAATATACTGTCCTGGGTTGAGTGAGTGGTGGGGTTTTTTGGTGGCAGGGGAGGGGGCTATAGGGGCAGCCCCCTGTAAGAAGCTTCTCAAAGCTCCCCCAGCTCCAACTCAGCTCCACCTCTGCTCAAAAACTGAGCCAATCAGCTGCACCTTTGTGATAATGTATTTAAGAAGGGACGTGGTGACGGGCAGTGGGACTTGTGAGGAGGAGTTGCTGCAGCTGCGTGAACACCAAGGTCAGTGGAGGAACGGAGGAAGAAAGGAGGGGGGAGGTGTGACGGAGCAGAGACCCCCCTGTATCCTGTGGTGAGACGGCAGGGCGGCCCCCCCTGACACCCATGGAGATCTACGATGGAGCAGACACTGATCTATGGCCTGTGGCTTCCACCTGATTGATCAAGGTTCTGTGCCCAAAGAAGGCCAGGGACTTCTGGGAAAAGGTAGCCCCGCTGCTGTAATTCAGCACTGGGAGGATTGCAGCACACGGGGGTGTCCCACGCCGGAGCAGCTCGGGAAGGGCTGCAGCCCATGGGAGGAACTCATATCGGAGAAAGTTTGTGGAGGACTGTCTCCTGTCAGAGGGGGACCATGATGGAGCAGGGGGAAGAAGTTCCAGAAGCTCCCCCCACTGAAGATGGAAGAAGCAGCAGCGTTGACTGTACCCCCCATTCCCTGCCCCTCCGCCTCTGGGGGAGCAGGTAGAGATATCGGGAGCAGAACTGAGCCCAGGAAGAAAGGAGAGGTGGGGGGAAGGTGTTCTCAAAATGTGGCAATGCTTCTCACTGTCCTACTCTGTTATGTGTTGTTAGTGTCTGTAATAAATGTACATTCTTTTTTATTTCCCCTAACGAGTCTGCCTTTTGCTCGTGCCCATAAAGGGTGATTTTTTTCCCCATCCCAGTCCTATCTCGAACCCCAAGCCTGGCTCTCTGTCCCTTCTTATTGCCAGAAGAGAAGGGAGAGAGAGTGGCTGCGTGGTGGTTGGCTGCCGACCAGGCTCAAACCATGACATATACATAGCTACATGTATTACTTTACAAATTCAGAAAGTACTTTCAAAAAAGCTAATCTGGGAGCAGAGGTTCACTCGTGATAAAGCCTGGGAGTACAAGGAACTAGAAAAGACAGTGCAAATAATGTATTAGGCTTCCTGACTGAAAGGAAACAGAAATAGGCTGGACCAAAACACCCACAATTATCATCCCTAAATACTAATACAAATTAATTGTTGAAGAAATTATTCTGTCCACTACCCTGAAGTTGTTACTCTAGAATGGCACCAGAACTGTTCTAGGAAAGACTGGAGAGAGATCTTATTCTCAACCCTTCTCTACCATACCCACTCATTTATAAAAAAAACATGATTTGAAGACCTATGACTGATGACCTGATTTGCTTTCAAGCATAAATTAGGAGAAAGTAGGAGGAGTTAATGAGCCTTAGCAGTCAAAGAAAACCAATGTTGTTCATCCCAGAGCAACACACAGAATATATTTGGATCCCCTCAGGCAGTATCTTTAAATAATTTTGGATAGGAAAGGAAGAAGAACAACTAACAATTGCCCTGCACCAATTCTTCAGCTTTATAGCTGTGGTAGTGTGGTCCCCTCTCCCTGCTCTGCTTAAGCCATAACCACCAATGGGTGTTGTGATGGCTGCATCCAGCTTACTCTGAACTTTGGGGAGATGGACAGCAACACAGTAGCCGAGGGCTGTCTTCCACAGTGACCCAGACTTCCTGATGGTATGCAAATATGAGTATAAATCAATCATCTTACTCCAAAAAGAGTGGACAGGCCAAGTTTCACAGAGCTCTCCTGCACAGCAGTGGGCTGCATGCCAGGATCTTCCCTCGAGTACAGATGCCTCTCAAAGTTACTCCTCGAGGTTGAGAGAATCCTTATTGCATTTCATCTGATACTTGGTAAGTGAATTGGAAATAAGCATGCTGAAACTGAAATCTTAGCTAAGTGATATAAAGGATTGATTATACATATATAATCTTTTTAGATATAAACTATTGACCAAATTTGGGACTCAGTCTGGATCCAGCTTCACCTAGACTTCTCTCTGGAAAGGAGATTAGAATGCAAAGGGGTCCACTCTGAACCTCATGATACAACAGGAGGGTCTTCCTGACAGTTTTGTCTGACCTTGTCCTCTATGCAGTAAATAATGAAGTGTACCTTCCCACCAAATCTTGTTAAGCCACTGTCGTATTTACCACTGAACTTTGTTAACTCACAGTTTCATATCAATAGAGTATACTACTGCTCCTGTTTCACAAGTGAAGTGCATCACTCTCTGCAAGAACAGCTACTAACACCAAGGTGATTCTTGCATTGGAAATGCCATGCAGAATGTCTCAATGTAAAGCCAATAAAACAGTACTTTAAACATTACATTAAAATAAATTTTAATCTACCCTGGTCATTCCACTCTTTAAGCACAATTTAAGAGAGCAGAAGGACTCTGGTACTATTGATAAAACAAATTCCAAATTCCTAAAGGACAAGGAAGGAGATTGTCAAAGAGGAAAAACCTGACTACAGTTAAGCTCTGACATTGCTTTAGAGAAAGAACACGGATAGTTCCTAAGGGCTGTTCTGTTCTTTACAAGTACAGTGAAAAGCAACCAAAAGAAAAGTGTGCCGAAGGCCACTGACTCAACAAGAAACTACAGAAAGCAGAAAAAAAAGAGAAACAAAAACCAAAACCAAAGCAAACCTAGAAAAAAAACAAAATTATATTTCATATAGCAAAAGAGAAATCAAATTCCAAATAGTAATAAAAAACGGATATGAAAAGCTAGCTCTAGAACAAATTACAAAAAAATGTGGGGTAAGGTAAACAAATCATTGGTCAGGATAGTCTCTTGCAAGAGAGAAATCTCATCTTCCTATACTTGGATGGATTGCTGCTCTCCTCAGGATATGAGGAAAAGGAGAGACAGCACTTCTTGTCAGCCACTAATATTCTCTCCAATCAGAGACAGCTTTAATATCTTAAAGTCAAACCACCAAAGACTGTATCAAGGACAGGCTAGTCAGACTAGAAATAGGACACTGTCTTCTGAACTATCTAATAAGAGTTAATCAATAAACTAGAAGATTCGGGAGTAAAGAATTTAAAGATATTCCACATGCTCTCTTTGATATGCCTTTTTATGTTAAACACACATTAAACAGCAGGCCCACTAAAAAGCAAACAGATCCATTTAAATTAAGCAAATAATCTGAGCAATGACTGATGACTGTTCAACAGGATGCATTTGCTGATTACAGGAAAATAAGGAGACTTTTGAGAGATTAAATATACTGGTTTTGTTGTGTGACAATGCATAGGCAATACAGTAAGAAAAATTGGAAGGACAAATATGACTCTTTTTAGGGAAATACATTTATGATTGAAATGAGAGTTAAATTTTAAACAATCACCAAAACTCACAACTCACAACTAACATTTTTTCTTATTAACATTGTCATGTCTTAAATCTCAGCTTTTTTCTGGAAGAGCTGTCTTACATTAAATTTCTGCTTTTAGAATCCCCCCCTTTCTTCTCCTTCAAAATTTTCATCTTACTTTTACAAATTGTTTGTGTGCCTTTTTTTTTGCTCAGTTCAAGAATAAATACACAGGGATAGCACTTCATGATGTATATTTCTCAGTGTATGATGGGATGAAGAAAAGAGATGAAAACAAGAAAAATATGCATAGCTAGCAAAGCTAAAAATTAAAATTGGATCTTATGTTTTGCATTTGCACTTTGCAAGGTTAATTTTTTGTGGGTTCATATTTAGTATATACATGCAAATGCATATACAGGTGCATATATTATAACTGCTACTGTAGTAGTCCAACAATCGCTGTGGGAATGTTTAAGAAAGATTATTCTCAATGCTAACAATTCCAAAATTTATCTCAATACACCCTCCCACTGCTGACAGTTTAGCAGGTGTTCTGTTGCAACAAGCAGCAGTTCAGCTGCCACCTGGTAGGCGTAGGCTGACTTATCAGCATTCAACACATTTCCACTTCTATCACTTTGAGTCATGAGACATCACAGCCTGGTTCTCTCTATTCACTTTCACACTGAATCCCATTAATTACGATTACACTTGGGTACAGTCTGCTTCCTCCCAAGACTAGGTGACAGAACCAAACTTAAATATTTAACTATTTCCAGCACTTTTTTTTTTTTTTTTTTTTTTTTAATTAGAATACAGGAATAGTCAAGGCATTGAAGTAATAGCATCAACTGCCTTACCTACCTCAGATGTGTGGTACTGAAAGTAAATATGCTGGTATTCTGTAATATGCTACCTTAAACACCAACCTCTGAAAATCATACTGTTCAGAGTACTGTTCTGTAAATCCAAACTATATATCTAGTTTCATCTGACACTTCATGATAAAGCACAAGGCTATGCAGGGAATCAGTATTTACCTATATATTACAAAAACTGAACTCAACAAGTACATTTTCATATGACAATATATCATTCAGAAAATAAACTACTACGTATATGAGTAATTTATTCAAAAAAGTTTGCTTTCCAAGGAAGGCAGTATCACCTACATTTCTTCAATTTTATACATAGGTTGATTTAAGCAAGAAAAGTTAAGTGATACTCCAAAAGGCATGCAACAAATCAGTGGCTTCATCCCACCTGTGCTACAAACAGTGTTGATAACAAAGAGATCTTTTCATTACTTCTCAGCAGTGCCTACACAGCATCAAGGCCTTTTTAGCTTCTCACATCACCCTGACAGCAAGGAGCTTGGAGGGGCATGTGAAGTTGGGAGGAGACACAGCTGGGACAGCTGATCCCAAATGACCAAAGGAATATCCCAGGTCATACGTGTCACGCTCTGCAATAAAGCCAGGGGAAGAAAGAGGAAGGGGGGATGTTTGGAGTGATAGTGTTTGTCTTCCCAAGTAACTGTTACACGTGATGGAGCCCTGCTTTCCTGGAAATGGATGAACACCTGCCTGCTGGTGGGAGACAATTAATTAATTTCTTATTTTGCTTTGCTTGCACATGCAGCTTTTGCTTTACTTGTTAAACTGTCTTTATCTCAACCCACAAGTTTCCTCACTTTTACCATTCTGATTGTCTCCCCCATCCTGTGGGGGGACAGTGAGCAAGTGGCTGTGTGGTGCTTAGCTGACTACTAGGGTTAAACCATGACAATATTATACATGAAAACATTCACTTAAATATTGGGCTACATTTCATACTGTTACAAAAATATCAATTAAAACAGATAGAAAACACTGAATTATCCTATATTCTGTGCAAGGTTACATGATTAACTAATTTTGTATACACAGGTCCACATGATGTCAATAAACAAACACCACATACACCAAACCAGAAATCAGAATAATGAACAATGCGTGTGGCAAGGACAGTTTACAGGACTATACTGCAGCAGGAATACAGTGAGAAAAAGTATACATTGCCTGATTCTTCTGAACACCTTAAAACAGTCTGAGCAGTGGGAAATCAAGAATCATAACTCTTTAATGATCAACACGCTTTTAAAAACTCAGTATAACATAAACAGATGTTCAGGCAGGGGACCTTCTGAATCAAGCTCTATTCTCCTGAGTAGGCTTACAAAGCTCATGAATTTAGAACTTCAGAATTTGCAAAGCATTCAGATTATAGAATAAATATACTTAAAGAAAAAGCAATGCAGCAGAAACGTTTTTATTAGCTAGCACCTATAAGAAGTCAAAGTGGAAAACAAGAAGGTACAAAATCTTGTAGGAAAAAAGCAGGTGAATAATTCAGATGTTTGTAAAAGCAGCTATGTATTAAATTCACCCACAAAGAAGAAAGCCAGTTATTCTTCTCACTTTCTGTTTATATAATGTTCTTACCAAATGTCCAGTCTGCCACTACCTAGCAGCACAAAATAATCATTCACTCTTTTTGTAATATGTTACAGCTTTTAAAATCTATTTTAAATGAACTAACAGTTCTTTTGGGTTTATTCCAACTGAAACTGTTTAGATCATAATACTGATAAAATTACATTTAATTTTATCATCAGAAAAACAACATACAGACATAAATAAAATAAATATTTATTTAAAAGTATTTGGTATGCAACTTAAATTAAAACAGGTAGTTAAGAAGTGTTTCAGTCAACAGAAAAACAGATGCAAGCTTGCGTGAATGTAAAATAGAAATAAAAAAAAAATTGGTAATGTCTTAAAAATCACAGATGCTTTTAGGATAAAGATTATGATGGCTACAAGTGTTTTCTGATAGACATTTCAAGCTAAACCATGTAAAAGTCCCAATACCACAAGCATTTCTTTTCATCTTTTCATGGAGTCGGTGCCTAAAAAAAAAACAGTAATTTTGCCTCACCTCTACTATAAACAATCCTTATAGCAGACACAATCTAATTCAATGCATGAATGCAGAGTTTAAAAACAAACACTGACATACCTTGTCAAAAGGAATTCCATAGTTTTTCAATACTGATGGAGAAATCAGAGTCATTTTGTGGCGAAGAAAAGCACTACATCCATGAGAGATGCTTGGGAAGAACTCTAAAGCAAGATAAGCAAAATTGGACATCTTAATTAAAATAAGTAAGAAATTTTTGTAATATTTTACAATACTTAATACTGGTTAAAGATGTTTTAGAATTTTTTACTGTGTCATTGATAGGTTCTGAGAAATTTGTGTGAAAATCAAATGCACCAAGTTTTTCAACTCATTTTCAGGGGCAGAGGTTGCAGGGTTTTGGGGTTTTTTTGTTTGTTTGTTTAAGAAGTGAAATAATTTAAAACCAATTTGGACTTCTAAATTTAGGCATACTTTTCTTACTCTTTACAGAAATATTTCTTTTGTGGGTTTTGTGGTTTGTTTTTTTTTTTTTAACATTAAAGTTCATTCTGCAACCCTTGCACACATGAAAATCAACTATAGTACATAAATTTAGAAGGATTCCACAAGAACTATGTTTTTTTGTTTCTTTATATCTTGCCTTGATTTTTATGAACAAAGATTGCTTTCCATATTTCAAATTTCATTATTAGTTATGTACCATTCTACAAACCCTGCTTAATTCATTAAATAATTATATAATCCAGTTGATGACAACATGGAGATAAATAAATGAGGGAAAAAGTGAAAAATTCAAGACAAAGCTTCAGTGTTACTAAACTCTGGTATCTGACCTCCTAACCAGGATGTGAACAGCACCTCAGCTACAGTTCAAATTGGCTACCCAAACTTTCCTTCTCTAAAATGAGAATATCAAGTTATTTTCTCTTCAACCTAACTATATTACAGTAAGAAAGCATTATGTTACAAGGCAAATGGGAGAAGATGAGGAGAGAGAAAGTTTCCAGAACATGACTAGTTTAGTCCTTCCTGACCTTGTTTCAGACTCCATTCTAGAAAGAATGTAAGACTCTCAAAAAGTGTAAATGCAATTCCTGCAAACAACAAAACAAAGGATAAGAAAGGCACAAGAATTAATGAAAGGAAGAAGCTCCTGAAAACACCAGATTGAAAAATGGAAGGACTATAGTGAAAGCCATCTAACCACCTATTACTTACGCTGTATATTTGCTTTCAATCCCTCTTCCAGTTAAGCACAGGCATATTACTTGCTCTGAGATAAGCATATGTCGTTTGTTAAACCCAAGAGGAATACTTTTGACTGTGTTATAATGCAACATCAGAGAAGTCTCACAAAGTTACAGCACTAACATCAACAGACTTAGGTTGACAAAGGATAACAATTTACTCACTAATCAGCAAAGATGAGGAAGTCTTTACTATCTTTATTATTAGAAATATAATTATTGTTATTTATCTTTACAGTCTTTTTAGTGTTTCCACCAGACCATTAGCAGGAATCACCATCAGATGTACTTTGAGTAACTGCAATCTATACATTTAGCAGTCCCAGTTAATACGTAATTTTACTGTATCAAGGACATAACATTTGAAAGTAATCCCTTTCTGTAAAGTCCAACTTTATTTACTTATTTAACTTTCTTCTGTAGAGTAATTTTTTCAATGTTACCAAGACCTTAACATCAAGTGTTTACTGTATTTTACGTCATTTATTCTCAAGTGATTTCAGAAATTTCACAAAGATGGACAGGCTACTGCTAGGAAAAAAGTTATTAAGAATTTTTTAAAACAATTACTTTTTTAATTTTCAGAAAACAGAATTGAGGCATAAAGGAGTTCACTCTCTAACAGTTCCATAGGAAAAAGACCAAGCAAACAAGTTGAAACAAGAACTGCAGGCTTCTTGTCTTAGACTAAGGGTAAGTTCTCATTGCTAGGCATACAGTTTCATCACAGCCCCCTCTTAAAACAGAATTCATCTTTTCCTCCTTTATAAGTTTTTTAATTAGTACAGTATGAATGAGCCTGACTCTACTGATAAAAAAAAAAAAGTCTATGATAATGACATTAGGTAAAAAAGTATTCTCTGAAATTATTTTCATTTGTGTTATAAACTGAGGTAAAATTCATATAAGAAAATCCAAATATAAAGCCATTTGAAAATGATGACTTTTTTCCTGGGTGCAAGGAAAACATATATAATCCTATTCCATTATACTACCTGAGAAACACTGACAGAAATCAAAGTGAAGCAAACAGTATTTCAAAGAAAAAAAAAAATTACCAATTATCTTCCATAACAACTTGATATGGAGAAGATACAATGCCAGATCTTTGTGATGAAAAGGTCTCCTTAATGATGGTATTAATACTGATTCAGAAAAATACTTTGGATTCATTTATACATAAAATGATCTTTCATGCCTGAGGAACACAATATGTCTTTGAGAGAGATCCAAATCAATAGATTACCTAGGATTATCCAAGGTGTAAATGTTTGTCCATAATGAATATATTAACCAAGAACACCACTCAGTTATTCTACAAACTGGAAAAGTCTGGTAATTTTATGAAGACTGTAAGAGATGACCCAAGAAAAATACAGGAAAAAAAACTTAACAAAAATGACAAGACAAAATATTTAAAAATATTGCTTAGTGGACTCAGACTTAGCCACAGGACATTTAACTAGTAAAAGAGCTTTCTGTCATCCCTTTACTGTGTTTGCACAAGTTGTTGGATCCTTCTCACATAAATGTTAGTTTGTTATTCAAAGAAGCAGTTTCATTCCTGAAGCAACACACTTAATACTCAATTGTTAAATTTAAAAATTAAAGAATCACTTTCAATCAATTAACCATCTAAATATTTTTAATGACTTGAGGAAAATAAAGATGAAATCTCAACAATTTGCCATAATATGTAATGTAATGTCAGATTTAATTTCTTCTCTCTGATGAGTCTTACATTTATGTCCATTAATGACCCTACAATTCCAGAACAATTTTAAGGTGATCACATTATAATTGTATTTTTTGTACATTCTTTTATAGCACAGTCCCCAATCCTGGGAGAACAAATTGTTTCTAATTTCTTAGATACAAGGTTAAGCAGCACTTAAGAAGCAAAAGGTGTACTGTACTCTCATGCTGATCAACGAACTAGGTACTCTGCTAAGATGCCCAGAGATTAAATTTCATTAAAATTTATCATTCTTTCTTTTTTCTCCCCACCAACAGGCACAGAAGTTTTCACTCTCTTTTGGAATTGCAAATAATGTTATAATGTAATTTCCAAAAAGTAATACTTGGTAGGTACATTTTTATCATACATGTTTGGCTTCACTGACTAAAAGACAGTTTAAAGAAACTCACCTACAACTAGTGGACTTCAGCTAATAAATTTCAACTATTTTGGCACAGTTAATCCCTATAATTTATTGATAACAATCATAACTTGGAATCTACAGCTTATGAGCTTCAAGAAATCTCGGTCTTGAGCAGCATAATAATAGAACACACTGTGAAAAAACTGAATGAAAGTGATACTTGCGACTGGAGAAAAATCTAGTATGAAAAGTGGCAAAAACCTTAATTTCTAAATGCAGTGGGAGTTTGATTCCGTTGCTTTCACTGAGAAAGCAAATTTTGTACTAAATTCTGCTACTGCAATATGCTTAATTAGCTCAATACACGATGAGAAAAAGCAAACCATGGGCAGATATCCAAAACTTAAATTGTACCACTACAGCTTCAAGAGATCAAAAGTAGTTGTGACAACTCCAATCAGAAGGCAAGCTTGTTGCCGAATTCTAAGAAAGTTGCTAACAACACAGAACAGCAGAACACTACCTACTCAAAAGCCATTGAGAGAAATTTAGAGGAAAACATTTGCTGTGGTCATGGAGACCTCACAGTGAAATAGAAGTGCAGCCTACACATTCTGTACCACTATGAAATCTCTTTTGACTCTGTGAAAGTCTACACTTACACACACTCAAATCTCCTACTCTCTTTCACCTCATTTTCTCAAAAGTACTCCAATGAATAAGGGAAGAAAAGAAGGTACTATTTCCTCATTACAAGACTCTGTTTATCAGAAGATCTTTTGTTCTGCCCAGGCTAAAGGTAAGGTCATGCAATCTTTTCTTTCAGGAAAGAAAATCCCTGTGGGAGAATTGTTTAGCAGATGTAAAAAATACCTGATAACACACTGAATAGAGAACATTACATTAGGAACATCTCAAGACCCTCACAAATACATTAAATGCAGTCCAAATCAAGACATGCCTGCAACACACTAGAAACATTCTCAAATACCAAGCTGGTGATAAAATTACCAATTTACAGTATTAATCCTAGATATTTAGTAAATCCAAAAGAAAAAATACTGAAATCTATATATAATGTGACTATCATCCGGGTTGTGTAGTACATTCATGCTTTTACAAGACACATGAAATCTCAATGTAATCCATTAACACCAATCCATTAACTACATCAGTTCTACAAAAGCAGGTATTTTGTGGGAATTTGCAGTTTCTCAGATAGTCTCTTGAGAAATGGCAGACCTCTTCTACACCTCTCCTCAATATTTCTATTTAGCCATCTGTACTCTTCTCATCTTCTTGGAAATTATTACACAGAACACAAAATGAAAATTCAAAACAATTACATCATAAGAACCAATGAACAATAATTGAAGATCAGGGTAAAACAGAATTAGATTGTTCATTGATTTACATTCATGAGAAAAAGATTGTCCAGTTGAAAACTGGCTATATATTGTATGATATACTGGTGATTGGCTATATATTGTATGATCAAAGATACCACAATTTGGCCAATAATAAAGTGATTATATAATCAAGTGATTATTTAAGCACACAAACATGAAATCATATTCTTGGGGAACTTTCAAATCACATTCTGACCTGTCAGTGGATGAAGCTAGGCTCCCTAACTTTTTCAACACTTCCATACTCAAGTCTTCACTTGAAATTTTACAGTAAAGGTGTTGTAATTTTTGTTTATTAATATTAATTGAAAATATAAAATATGAAATTATAAAACTTATAAGAGAACATACTAAATTGCAAATATCTTTAATGTCATTAAAAATAGTCCACATTAATTCAACTATGCTCAAAGTTATGGTCATTTTTTACTTATGTAATTCTTCATTTAAAAGACTTAGAACACACAAAATATTAATCGTAATTCACTGATCTACTGATCTACTACTCTTGGAACACAGGCAGAGATTAAAGAAGGATTGAGTTTTCTAGTAATTTTATTTTTAGATTTTAGTTTTGTAAGTATAAATACAAACGTCACATAATTTATTTAAATTAATTTGCAATGATTCGAACTAATTTGATTTAACTTTCTGTATTGCACATAAAAGAAATTAGGAGGATGAGTTTGCATGACAACAATCCTCACAAAGAAGCAGTGGCAATTTGTATGCTATACAAAGCACAGAGTACAAAAGCCACAAAAGAAGCAAGTGCTGTGAAACATGAGTGTTGTTATGCCCAGATGAATATGTTACAGCCTTACATTTATTATCTTTTATATGCAATTTTCCTAACTTGACTCATGTAACAGTTGAGACAAAGTTCAATTCTTCAGCTGATGAAGTTTTCAGAATCAAAACCCTTAGAAGCTATGAAAATTCTACACCAAGTTTCATTTCATCAACTATTTATACTTGTTTACATTCATAACAGGTAATTAATTTAATGCAGAAGTCATTAGTTAATACTATACACCATACTAAGCTTTTTATAACACCCCTACATGCTTACAATATATTAAACTTTACTTTACTTTCTTCTTTAACATAATTGAACACCACAGATAGATGTCATCTCTCTGAAACAGCTTCTGCTGTTAAATGATCTATTAAAAGATCTTGAAAATCCTTCAGACTGTCATTTGTGATTTGCCACTCTGCTTCTATTCTCTTTATTTTCTAACCCATTCTGTCAAACAAAAAATCCTCAATATCATGGTATTACAGATTAACATAACAAGTATAAAAATTGCAGTTAAGAGCTCGCTTGAGATTTTTATTACATTTATGTCTACATAAAATTGAAAAAAACCTACATAAATGAGAAAGCAGCTGAAGGGCAAAATCAAACTGTTGTCTTTATTAGATGCAAATCTAATGTTTTTCAGATAAAGTATTTGTAGGTGCCACAGTCAATCAAGATTTCAATGGAAAGCAAAAATGAAAGCAATCATGCACAAAAGGCACGTGTAGTAATTGTGATGTGCAGACAAGATAATGGAAATATTCTAGCCTTCCTTTAATTTTATGTATCAACTGCTGCCTTGACTTAGACAACCTGTCTCATTTAATGCATTATTTTATTATTTTAACTATTTAGGAGCATTCAATCAATTTGGTAGGAATCTGGTCACCAGAGCTAACCTTCCTGAGTAAACTACTTTTTGCTTCAGATGTTGCACTCACAAAAAATATATTATTAAAAATATTTTCAATACACATGTAATTAAGTATGAAGGTATCATTTACACTATGTTTCATTAATGTTTACTATTAAGTGACTTGCAGCCATGCAGCTTATTTTACATTTTCACCTTTTTAAAATATCTTATTGTAAAACTCAGACTGTAATTTAGCAGACAGCAGTTGAAAAGTAGAAAATCACTGAAGAAAATTATTCTCAAGAACTACAGCATCATCTTCTACATTCCATTCTGAGCTATCAGCTGGACCAAAAATATCATGAAAACAGCCTACTCATAAAAAAAATCACAGAAGACATTAAAGTCAAATACTAAAAACTTAGGAAATATCAGAGAGGGTTGTCTGTGAAACTCACCTATCTTTTATTGCTGTTACAATAAAAATCTCTGTGTGAGTATGTAGTTTTTCTACATAAGTACAGTTTCATTCACTAAATCTAATGGAATAAACAACTATTTGAAATTTTATCTTCACTGTTTAGTATCTGATTTTGTTCCATTTGCTATTTACTACTCAAAACACAGTTCTGAAATAAAAATAATTAAGTTTTGATCATACACAAAAATCATCAAGGAAAGTAAGTTTTCCATTCACCACACAGATCTTTATAACTTGTATTAACATATAATTGACAGCAGTAGTACACAACTTACTTCCATGCAGATGTACAGAGACCAAGGCTGAGTTACTTTCCTGGGCAATTTGTTTAAATACAGTGATCAGTAAGGATGAAAGAACTGTGTTCCTGTTCCCAGCTGTAGAAAAGCACTTACACATGTGCCAGTGTACCTGAAGCCAAATCACTTTCTGTCCTACCTTGTTCCAGCAGTTCTAGACCTAGTAACTGTTACACTGGGTGATACTGAAGTTGTAAATCCTATTTAGCCCACTGTCCAATTCTGACTCTGGCATTTGGACATTAACACACCACTCCCCCAGTATAAGCTATTTGCTTCTGACAATAGTGGTTTTGGAGATTTCCACTTCTGCCATGCTTTATGTCCAACTCCTCTTGCTGTATAAGGCCACAATTATCAGCAACAAGAGGCCTAATCATCTTCAGGCCACAGTTTTCTAACATAATACTTTCTTAAACTATATAATTATATAAGTTTACACTAAGTGACTTCAAATGCTCCCATGTAGCAAAGCATGTATCTCCAAAAGTTACCTACTTCCTGAATTTGCATAGGTTACTCCAGTATCTGGGGTAATTAGGGTATGTCAAAGAAAAATTTGAAGGTATTTTTCAGTCTGCAGCAAACAATGCCATGCCTCAATGCCACTTAATTTTTAGAAATGAGTGAACAAATGTTGCTGAAACTGTGCATTCTCTTCCCTCAAAAAAAGTCTTTGAGACACACTCATTACAGAACATTTAAACCTGAATAGTTTTAAAACACTGCACAGATATAATTACTATGAAATCTGTAATAAACACCAGAGCACATCTAACAAAAACTCCATCTACCCAAAGGTTTTGTTACCAGCAAATGTCAAAACTGGAAGTACAGAGAAGTGTTTAAATACAGCATAAAATCTTTGCTTTCTCTGAGTAATTCAGTACCAACGACTTACTGCTCCAAAATTTACAAAGCCAAATGCAGCTCCTACCCTCTTCTAACAGATTTCTTTGCCAGTGTTGCCCAGTCTCCCCCTGAATCCATGCAAACTTTTAGAATTCACCATGGACATTGAGGAGTTCATGCTGTGAAATGAACCATCTCCTTCTGTTTGTTTTGAACCTGCTAAGGCTCTTCATTCAGAATCTGTAGCTGTACTGGAAGACACAGTGAACAATCACTCTTTAGTCATCTTTTCCATGCCAATCATCACAGATCTTCATCAGACCCCATTGCCTTTATTTGACACTCTTTCAGATTGAAAAGTTAGAGCTTACTAACAATTATTAGAACAATAAGGCGAATTTTTCACCAATCCCAGTGTCCCTCTCTGAACCTTTTCCAATTCTCTCTTCTTTTTACTCCTTGCTCTTTTCCTGTAACTCTTAAAATAATTACTGAATGATCCTAGCATAAATCAGTATCATTTGTCTGGTCTACGACATGTATCAATTTGTTTACCAGTGAAAACCAAAAGCTTCGAAGTATACATATGAAGAGTTCTATACTTTGCAAGCTGGAAAAAGAATCTAGAAAGCAAAAAAATGAGTGACAGCTTTCTCCACTGAAACTATGGGAAAATTTAAGAAGAGTAAATGCAATTATTCAGGCTGAAATCTGTCTGAGACATGTTTTTAAGACTGCAAATTTACAGGTCTTTACTTACATATCTTACTGTTCTCAGCAATAGTTAGAGAATAGTTCAGAAAAACAGTCATGCACCTATATGAATGTAAAATGGATATGAAAAGAAAGTGTACAAAATTTTTCAGCATTCGGTCCTGACACATAATATTTAATTATCAACATTCAGTAGTATTCCTTATATGCTTAATAGCAGGCTATGAGACATGAGCTGCAAGGCCAAGTAACTTGCCTAACTATTCCCATCTTCATAAATTGCACTCTTAATCCAGAAACAAAAAGAGAGGTGTTGTGTTATTGAAAATAAACCAAAATATTGTGTGTGAAAAGAATTCTCCTACAGACTAATGATTTTTATCCCTTAGATCTCAACCTTACAATATCCTCTGCTCCTTCTCAATAGATTTTCCTCACATTTCTGGAGGGCAAAATCCAGTACATACTTTGGCTAAACTGGATTTATATGCCTGCTTCCAGGCCACCAGGCTGCTACCAAATAAGATTTAGCATTGATACATTCTGTCTGTTTCTCCCTTCCCAGAGGTACTAACCAGGTTTCCATCCTCTAACCAGGCATTAACTTTCATGAAATTCTGGAGACTCATCTGTCTTCAGTATTTCTATCTTTGTATCAAACTTGACTAGGAAGCTAAGATTCATAAGTTACTGATGAAAAGAAGCTATGACAAGAAAAAGCAAGGGCACAGAGGAGACAAAGATACTAGCAAGGAAAAATCTAATGAACAACAAAATACAAAGCCTCATTTTCATAGGTTTCACCAAACTAAAAATGCCAGTACAAAATAAAGTTCTAGGAGAAAAAAAAAAATCAATTTGTTTCTTAAGAATTCTCCAGCATACTAAAAATTGTTCCTTTTTTGCAATTATTCTGTAGACAGATAAAAGTCACACAACATTAAGTAATAAAACACAACAGATAAGTCAAGGGCAATGTTTTTCACTTTGCTGGAGATTTGTCCTTCAAACATCTTACATATGGAAATACTGAAAATGTTACCTTGAGATAGTCTTTCAAGCCGTTTCCCATGCTCTGGAGGAACAGCATACCTAAAATTGACATAAAGAAATGCTTAAAGACATAATTACTACAAAAGCCACTATTCATGTGTGATAAATATCTGAAAACACAGAAGACAAAAATATTAAAGAGTGAAAAATCATATGGGAAAAAATACCAACTTCTGAGGAAAAAAATACAGAGGGGTTGGTTTTTCTGAAAAAAAAAAAATAGCTTTTTTTTACTTTAAACATTATAGTACATAGTTCAAACATGTTATATTCACTATTTAAAATCATGTATATTGACAATATTTGATATGATTACACCACTTCAATTTAAAAAAGATACATATGCTTTAATTTTCCAAATTAAATAAAAACACACAAGTATAATTTATAGAGGTTTAATGTCTTTGAATTTTACTGTGCTTCACAAGACACAAGAGTTCAACAGAAAAATATGAGCATTAAACGCCTCCATTTTTTCCTATAGCCAATGCTGTGTAACAAAACAGCTACTTGTCTTTGTAAAATCATTACAATTAGAGTTTAAAAAACATTTAAGAAATATACTTTCTTCAAATTATTGTATATGTCTTGGAATCACTCTGTTCTTACAATAAATTACTTCATAAAGATTCCATCTCCTATCTGAAACATGTCAGCAACAGCATAAAAGAACTGGAATTAATCTCATGTTATTTTTAATGTTTATTACAGATAGAAAATTGAAGATCATTGAAAAGCTGTAATTTCATCCTGCTTTTCTGAACACTTTGTTATTCACATATTTACTACACTTTGTAGATATACTGCATGTATTAATTAGCTTGATTATTGATTTTAACTGCTTTAGTATGTGATATAATAGGCTTTCATTTCAGTGTAACGTGGCAACAGCATTGGATTGATTCTTCTCTACAAAAAAATATGGTTCGGAAAAGGAGAAAATGCATATTCAGCTCTCCAATAGAGTCTAAATCCACATTTTCAATATACAGGTTTTTTCATTCATCTCCCCTGACAACTCACTCAGAAAAACAAGTGAAGGGTCATAGGCCCCTCATTTTGCACAAGAAATAAACATCTCCCTACCTCAAGCTCTCATTTGCACACACACAATTCTACTGTATTACAACTGAAACTGCTGAACCGAAGGAACATCCTTCCACCACAGAAGTCAGTGCTCTAAACTGAACTGTAGCAAAACCCATGCCCACTGACTGCACAGTCCTAAAGGTATTAAACAAAGAGGGGCTTTCAGCTTGACTCTGCTCAATGTTTTCTGTTTTAAGCAGAATTTCACTGTCTTACAATAATGGATTTTGTTTCTCTCCACTTGTACTTCCAAAGTGTTTGTGCCTGTTCTCCACTCTGTATTACACATGCATCAGCATATACACAGTAATCTAAACTATGTTTGCATGTTTCACACCCAGTGGAGACAAATGCTATGTATAGCATTATATACCATACTGTATGTCATTAAATACACAAATCCATAAAGCAAAATGGACAGACAGTGCATAAATCTTACAAAAAATGCAACCTAGAGACTTTGCTTTGCTTTACCCGTCTTTAATTGGACCAGTATTCTTCCTAAAAAGTTACTCTTCCAAAAGTACATGCTACTACATTTTTGTGATAATATGAAGCCATATGCTTCTATTTGTACATGTAAATATGTAACTACTTTTCAATTTTACAAAAATGCAAAACTGGACAACTGAGCTCTCAGTAAGTCTCTTGCAAAGATATAATGTGACACAATTTAACTGGGCTATAGCTATTTATTTAGCTAATCTCATGTGGACAAATTAAGATAAATTCAGATACTTAATAAACTCACAATTATTTTCCAAAACATAAATATCTTAGTCAGATTTTTTTTATTTATAAATTTATATTGCAAATTGAAACATTATCTATATTTTACCCATGGATCTATTAGATGTACATGTGTAATTTCATTTAGTATCCTCATTTTTCCACTTCATAAAGGAAGATGAACAGGTATTGGTAAACAATCTACACTGCCATATACAGAAAAACAGATTCTAGCAATGTCAATCAAGAGGTAACAGTAAAGTTTCCCATGGCAAAAATTTTAGGCAATCTGGAGATCAGATTTCTCGCCATCCTGTATCCACTGAACTCCTGAAAAGAACTTCCAAACCTAAATCACCTGCTTTATTTTGAATTTTACTATAGATCATTTCACCCTATTCCTCCTACAACCTTAACAAACTGTCGGGTTGAGTCTCACTCTCCCAAGCCATCTGATTTTGGCTGTCCAAGCGTTCTGTCTTCAACAATCTGTTCTCATTTTCTTGACATCATCACAAAGACAGAACCATCTTGCTGCAGTACATGCTCCTCTTTTTATGACTGACCAACCCCGCAAGGCATTTTAGTAATGTGTTTCAGAAAACATAAACAGGAGGGGTTTTTAACATAATGTATTGCTTCTTGTCATTTCCAGTCTTCAGAGGATCTAGATGGGATGTGACAGAACACATCACAAATTGATACGTAAATTATATTTGTATTATACTGCAAGTTTACACTGTGCCCCTTTCAACAGAAAGTAAAAACTCATTCTTTGTGCAGAAAATTCAGACCTCTAACATCAGACATAAAAGGTGAACAAGGTCAGCACAATTTTTAAAAATATTACTTTCTAAAGTAAAATACTAAATTTATTCTCCACATATCTTTACGCTTTTTCTCTAAAAAAAATAAAAATGAGTCAAATTATTATTATATTTAAAATATCCACAGTGCCATGAAAATAATTACCTTGAACCTGCTTAATAAACACTTTCACATATTCATTATTAATATTCTTCAAGAAGATTTACATCATCTTAAGACTTAAAAAAATTCCTATCAACACCACTGTTTTTCATGAGTCAGGTAAACAACATAAAGATTAAGCACTGCTTTCAGATACTTAATAAACTCAGAATTATTTTCCAAAATATAAATATCTTGTTCAGATTTTTTAATTTATATTTTTAATTTATTTATAATCTATAATTTAAATTTAAGCATTATCAGTATTTTACCCATGGATCTACCACACATACTGATCATCTAGCATTTATATTAACAAAAATCTGTTTTCTGCTAGGCATTAATTTCCAAGAGCAGTTTAATACTTTAACATGACAAAATTCCTCAACTTATTACACAAAAAAATACTCTTTAGTCAGACCCTATAACCCTGAAATAATAATTACAATAGAAGAAAATATTTAGCAAGTGGCAGAGTGAAGAAATTTTTAATACTAATAAGCAGTTCACATATATCATTATTAAACATATCAAGAACAAACTGAATTAATAAATTAAGTAAATCATCAATTACACCAATGGTGGTTCTCGTTAAGAAGACTTTTTCCTTAGAAACTGTGATGTAAAATGAGGTACCATCTTCAAGATTTCTTTCCCTTTAGAAAAAAATGCAAAGGAAAATTGCAGTAAAAATTCTGCCTGATAGCAAGTAATTTAATAGACTCTGTTCCCCTTTCCAAATAAATCTTTCTTCACCATATTCTCCTCTCATCTCCCTCATATTGTTCTGTTTCAGAACTTCTACGTTTTCTTAATTCCTTTTTCTCCTTCAAATTATTTCTCTCTTTATCACTTTTCTGCAAGCAAAAAATAATCCATAAATCAAACATATGTACTACACAAATACATATGTATATAAACACACAAACAGCCATAGTCCCGATTTTGCAAATGGTTATCAGACACACTTTTCCCCTGTGTTTCACATGAGGCACTCAGTGGAGGAATCGTCATAGATAATATAAATCTATAAACTTCTTTGCCAGCCGCTTGGAAGTGAAACAGCACTCAGTTGCCCTCTGAACTCAAACCACAAGAGTGTAAGAAGAAATGAAAGTTAACCTAGGCCTAAACACTGGAGAAAGCTTCAAATTCCATAAAGACTGCTCAGGCAGTCACATTCAGCTGCTGCCTGCAAGTTCTCATCATGGCTTTCAGGTGGAAGTGGTTGTTTTCTCACAATTCAGAGAAAACACGTTGCTTCTCATTGTTCTTAATAAAGTATTTTTCAGTTCTCATAAGAACAGTATGGCTGTCTCTAAGAACTACGTGTATACTCCATAAAATTAAAAACATGGTTTACTACTGTACATGCCAGGGTATTTGGTTTTACTAAGGAATAACTTGTCAATTCAGTTTAAAATTTTTAAGAGAAGACAAAATCTTTACTGTCTCTATCTTAAGATTTAACTCATCCTCCATCTTTTTGAAGAAAATATTATACTAATACCACATTAACACAAGATGTATTTTATTGACATAGGAACAGCATTAGCATAAATTATTGCAGCATTTCTCCAGCAAAAGCACATGGGTAACAACAAATAAATCTTTAACTGTCTTTCATTCAACATTTTTTTAGCGCTGAATTTCTTAAGGATATGGGCCAATGTGGTCCAGAAAGCTGCATCCACTGCTATTTCTTCAAAACATGAAGAGGCCAGTGTTTAACAATTTTGTTCATTCAGAAGTGTAAACAAGTATCTGTAAACTAGAAAAGCATTTATGACATTACCATATCAATTGAGCACCTCTCCTGTGAGAACAGGATGGGAGAGTTGGGGTTGTTCAGCCTGGAGAAGAGAAGGCTCCAGGGAGACCTTATAACAGCCTTCTTAAAGAGGGCCTACAGGAAAGATGGGGAGGGAGTGTAGTGATAGGACCAGGGGTAGCAGTTTTAAACTAAAAGAGGGTAAATTTAGATGAGATATAAGGAAGAAATTCTTTCCTGTGAGGGTGGTGAGACAGTGAAACAGGTTGCCCAGAGAAGCTGTGGCTGCCCCCTCCCTGGGAGGGTTCAAGGCTTTGAGCAACCTGGTCTAGTAGCCCCTATGCGTGGCGTGGGAGTTGGAACTAGGTGATCTTTAAGGTCCCTTCCAACCCAAACCATTCTATGATTTCAAAGAGGCCTTACAGATGTTCCCTCAAATAGTCTTGGGGCTCCCAACTCATTAAACTTCTCATATAGAAGCATTACAGTCTTTCTGTTGAACTCCAAGGAGCTTTATGTACTTATTAGTGTTTTCCTTTAAAATGAAAAGATGCATTACTGCAATGTTCTTTACATCACAAAGCTCACATATTTCATAGTATTCTCAGCTTAAAAGAAAAACCACAGAACTACTATGTTAGCTTTTCAGTAAAGCTTATCACTGTGAAGCAATTGTACCCCATCTTTTTTTGGTTTAGTCAGCTGAAGCAGATAAATAAAAACATATTACATAAAAATTTAAACTTGCCATGACTTTGGTTCCCCAAAATGGAGATAATTAATACTGTAAAGATCCATGTCTTCAGTGTGCCATGGAAACGTTGTTTTCCACATGCCAAAATACAGATACGGCGTATTTACACCCTCAATAGAAATTCCACACTCTTCTTCTACAACATCCAATATTGTATTAAGATGGCCAATATTCCATTCCTCAATACCCTGAAAAAGATACACAATAAATGTATTAATACATTTATAAAGTAGTGTGATTTTATATGTGTCAGTCAAAAGAGACACACCTGATCTAGCCCTTCAAAAGACTGTATATTAATACAATTTTGTAAGCAGTTTAGAAGACAAATTGAAGTTACTTGAAGAAAAATTCTCTTGACCTTAATAAGATTTAGATCAGATTCTAAGTGTAAGATGTTCAGAACAGAGAACACAAGTAAATTTGTACCTGCTTAATACTTAATATATCCAATCTAACATGGATTGAAACACCATACACAATAAAAATAATAGCTACAAACAAAATCTTTGATGAGTTAATAGCTGGAAGCCAGTAAGTTTCATTTACAATGTAATACTAAGTAGTATGAAAAAATATTTTAAAATTTAATTTACATCTGTAAATTTACCATTTCTCTGAAAAGTACAAAAACCAAAACCATTCCATCACTTCAGAGGCCCTTCTAACCATAATGATGTACTACATGAGGAATATACCACATAAGAAATATATTGATTTCAGGGGATTTCAGCTGATTCCTTACATTATTGTCTATAAAATTTGTATATTAAAAACTATTCAGAGAGCCATGCATATACTTTTTCTGGTATTTCAAATTCATGCATAAAGTGCAATTCTAATTGTAGGTAATACAGCATGTAAGAGTCAGTATAACTAAGACCAAAGCTACAAAACTGAAGAGAGATTAGACTTCATTATAATAGCAATTTTTAGTACTTCCAGGGAAGACATTAGCTGGTCCTCAAGCAGTCAGAAAAATCAGAAATACAATCAAAACTATAACAGACTCAACTCAGGCAAGTTTATTTGGAAGACAGTCCCTAAACATGCCCTTAACCATGACCTGCTCTGCGCCCCCCCATCACTAAACTCTGTGTGGTTCCTACAATCTTACTCAGATTTAGGTAACAAATTGATGGCAGACTGCAGTCCTGATGCAGCTGATTAAGAAACATGGTGACATGCAATAGTTTGGCTGGTGATGAAGTAAGAATACAGGTTAAAGCAAGAAGCAATGAATATTTAATACTTTCAGTTTTTATTTTCTAGTTTGTTGAGAATTTATGTCAAACGTTATGTATGCAGCAACTAGAATTGATACGCAAGATGGTAACTTCGATATGAAGTTCAACCTCTTCACTGAACAAGCACTTCTGACTGCCTGCTGTGATTATTTCACTTAGTAAGAAAAACAATGTTGAAGTTATCTGGGACTTTTACAAAAGAGTAAAGGACTTTTACAGAATGAGTTTGTTTTAGACAGCAATTTATTTTAAATGGAGTCTTTGGCTTTGATGCATTTGTGTGACATAAAGGCACTTCAATTTTTTTTTTAAATAAATTAATATGATGACCATTATGAAAGAAAAAAACTAAACACCAATATGAACTGAAATAACAGATGCTGGTAAAATTTGCACCTTTCAAATCCAGAAATAATAATCATCAGCAAGGCAGCAGAGCTGTAAAATATAAAATTTGTTTTAAGAAACAATTTTAACTAATTACTCCTCAGATTTTTTTTTTTTTAAATCACATAAAATTTATCTTTGTTCACAAATTGTGTAATCAATTTGGAGAAACAAATTAATACAACAAAATAAAAGCAATGTAGGCAGAGACACAAACAGGTTTAGAAGAATACAATAAAAACACCAGATAAAAATCAACTGTTAATCTAGGCAGTATACTCCTTCTGACAGTGGCCAAGAGCAGACAAGAAACAGTGACAGGAAAGCAGTACTTCTCCAGAATAACCTTCCAGCCTGCAGCAATTTGCAGATTGAGGATTTCTCCAGACAGAGGTGTTATCCTTCTACCTAACAGTACCCCAGTGGGCTTTTCACCAGTTTATTCATCTAGTCACCTTCGTTAACACATGTAAGCCTTTAGCAACCATAACATCCTGAAGCCTTACTATTCTCTTACTAAGAATGAAGAGATAGTTAAAATAATCTTTTTTTGTTTTTAACACATCTCACCTTTTCACCTTCTGTTAAGTCACAACTAGTCACCAAGACAACTGCTAGTGGTTTGTCCCTAAAACAAAAGCAAATCCTCCCACAGAGAACAAACCTATGAGAAAAAGCTTGCTTCAGAATACCAAACATACCAAATAGAGAATTCACAACCTCTACACTCAAGATGTATGAACTATTTCCACTTCCTAAAGACTATTTTGGACAAGTAGTTTTAGCTCAAAAGGAAATGTTCACTGAAACTGTTTGAAATGCTAAAAATCACACTGATTCATTTTAACTCTTTCTACCTTCCTTTAACTTAAAGATTACATATCAGTTCTATATTTATGCCTAGACTGTTAAAATTATTACAAATTATGATTAAAGCTGTTACTTTTCCTCACAGGTGTATTTTCTAATATTCCAAAACACTAAGTAAAATGCTTGCATGAGTTTTTAAGTAAAATATTGAGTCTAACTTTTCTAATAGTTATATAACTGTTTTTAAACTTTATAATTGCTATGCACACTAAAAGGATCACAGGAGTTGTAAAAGAATAGTTCATCTAGTCAACACATAACAATACTTCTCAAAATTGAAGTATATCTTAAGAGGTTATGCTATATTTAGTAACTATTTAGAGCATCAGTACGCATATTGCTTGACCATGAGGTGTAGCTGGTAGTTTCTTACAAATACAAAAACCCATTTAGACATTATAATCTATTCAGTGTTAGGAAAATATCAAATATTTATTCTGCTCAGAATATTACAATACTATCAGATTATAATAATAACTTAAAGGGAATGTGTAAAAAAAGCTGTCTAATATTTCCACATTTTTGATGGCAAATTCTTTAAAGAATACCTGTCATCTTTGACAACTGTACAACACAATCCCATATCAGGAAAAAAGCTGAAAAATAACATATTTTTCTTTCTTTGATATAACAAAGGAATAAAGGATTTAAATATCTTACCATCTATGGTCATAGCTATGCACATTAGTTATACCTTGTATTTCTTCAGAGAAATGTTGTAAGGTACATAGTAGTTCATACAGATGACCACTGTTCCTATCTTCACTAATTTTGTAGATGATTCAAAGTTACTGTAAATTGCTATCAAGAGTATTTATGATTCTTTTAATGACCTTTTTGAACCAGCATTTAATGCAATGTGGAGATAACACTTCACAAGCAACTCATATATCCAAACACTTGCACAGTTTTGAAAGACCTGAGCCATTCTTTTCTCAAAGACACAAAAACAAATGTAACTTTCAGTATATTGGTAAAAAATTAAGCTCAAGGTTGTAAGCAGTAACCTCTTTGCAGATAAAAAAAAAAAATAGGCTCCAACTGAAATTATTTTTTATTCATTTCCTCTTTTTAAAGTACTTACAATAATGACATGATACTATCCTTTGCACTTTACTTAAACAAATCAGCCAACAATGTGATGTATTCTACTTCTATGAGCATTATTTCTGTATGTATAGACTAATACACACAATCCTTTTTCTGTCTTTAATTTTTTCTCTGATTTCTCATGGATTCATCTTAGTATTAACCTTGCAAACAAGACATCTGTTCTACAACTAGGATTAAAAAGCCCGTATGACTAACTGTAATAGCTCAAACAGTAAAGAAGAGTTAAAAAAAAAAAATTAAGATGGAGTGAAAAGGAGAGGCAGAAACACAGAGAAAAATTTGGTTTTGGTCACTCACTCCTCTCTCCACACACCCACTCACTCACACCAATAAATACAATAAAAAGCCTGACAGGTTTTTATTGCTTCTTCGAAGTCCACAAAACACAGACAGACAAATGCCATTAAAATAATCCCTGCACCATAAATACATAGATTAGGAAATATAGTTTCCCTCATTTCATGTTTTTTTCTTCTCAGTACCTTTTCAGATATAACTACTGCTTTGCAGAGCCCTTTTGAAGAGTGGGAAAAAAACAGAAGCAAGTAAATTCTCTTTGTAAATGCATACCAGAACCAAACACGAGTGAAAGAATGCTCACGTTTATCTCAACCATGAGGACATAATAGAGAAAAGACATCTCACATAGAACCACATAATCACTTAGGTTGGAAAAGATCTTTAAGATCATCAAGTCCAACTGTTAACCTAGCACTGCCGAGTTCATCACTAAACCATGTCCCTAAGCATCACATCCACACATCTTTTCAATACCTACAGGGATGGTGACTCAACCGCTTTCCTTGGCAGCCTGTTCCATTGCTTGACAACCCTTTCAGTGAAGAAACTTTTCCTAATATCCAATCTAAACCTCTCCTGGTACAATGTGAGGCTGTTTCTTCTTGTCCTATCACTTGTTACTTGGGGGAAAGAGACCACCACCCACCTCACTACAACCTCTTTTCAGGTAGTTGTAGAGGGTGGTACGGTCTCCCTTGTTGAAACTCATAGAATTGGCCTCAGCTGATTGATCCAGCCTGTCTAGATCCCTCTGTAGAGCTTTCCTACCCTCAAGCACATCAACACTCCTGCCCAACTTGGTGTCATCTGCAAATTTACTGTGTGCACTTGAGTTCCCTCATCCAGATCATTGATAAAGATGGTGCCCACTAATGCTGCTATATCACTCCCCTCCTCAGCTGAACAGGGTAGCAAAAATATAACAAAAAGCTCATGTGTCAAGATAAGGACAGGAAGATCACTCAGCTATTGCCGTCAAAGGCAAAATGGACTTGACTTGGTGAAAATTAATTTATTACCAATCAAATCAGAGTAGGATAATGAAAAATGAAAAAATCTTAAGACACCTTCCCCCCACCCCCCTTCTTTTTTCCCAGGCTCAACTGCACTCCTAAATTCTCTACCTCCTCCCCTCCAGCAGCACAGAGGGATTGCGAATGGGGGTTGCAATCAGCTCATCACACATTGCCTCTGCCACTCCTTCCTCCTCAAGTGGAAGACTCCTCTCAGGTACTCTCACTTCTCTCTCTGACTGCAGCTGATGTTGTACA